GGAGGAGGAGGAGGATGGAAGTGGTGGTTCAGAAGAATTGTCAGAGTTAGTTGGCGGCGGCGGGGAGGAAGAGGCGGAAGGGGGGACGATGGTTGGTGTAGTTCGAGAGGCGCAGTTGGTCCGAAGATGTCCAACAAGTCCGATTCGAGCCCGGAATGTCCGTTGACATCGAGAACACGTTGGAAGCGGTTGTGCGGCGGCTTTGCGTACTGGGCGAAGTTGTGATTTGCGGGCTTCGCTTTTCGCTTTGGCGGCGGCTATGCAGTTGGCTTCGTGGATAGCAGCGCCCGTCTTCACTGTTCTCCTCCATGTCGGACGATCGCGGGCGAGCTCTTCCCAGTTGGTCGTGTTGATTTGCAGACGCTTCAGGGAGGACATCAGAGTATCCTTGTAACGGCGAATTTGGCCTCCTTGACGGCGAGAACCCGCCGCGACGTCTCCGTAGAAGAGTCGTTTGGGTAGTCCATGCGCACCAGGTGGCCGCTCCAGCGCAACTGCATTTGTCTCAGCATGGAGTAGATGATGAGCATTCCCGTACGTTCAAGCACATCAGTGTCGGGGATGCGATCCTGCCAGTTCAGCCTCAGGATGCGACGGAGAAAACTGAGGTAGAAGTGATTCAGTCGCCGTGCCTGCCTCGTGTACACCGTCTACGTCTCTGCTCCGTAAAGTAGCGTCGGCAGGATGACGGCCTTGTACATCCTCAGCTTCGTTTTCAGTTGAAGACCGTGGCGATTCCAAACTGTACTTTATAGGCGACCGAAGGCTTCACTGGCTTTCGAGATTCTGTTGGCGACTTCGTCATCGATCTTGGTGTTGCGGGAGAGGGCACTGCCCAGGTACGGGAAGTTCTCCACCACTTGCAGTTGGGTCCCATTCACGCTGATTTGTGGCGGCGCGTTGGGGGCTGTGGCTGAGTTGGGTGGCGGTTGGTGCATCACCACCGTCTTCTGCGTGTTAATGACCAGACCGAAGTTCCCGCAGGCGGCGGAGAATAGGTCCATGCTCCGTTGCATCTCCTCTTCCGAGGTGGTGTTCAGGGCGCAGTTGTCGGCGAAGAGGAGTTCGTGCACGACGTTTGTGGATACGCGCGATTGGAAGTGCATCCGCCGTTGATTCAGGAGATGACCGTCCGTCCTGTAGGCGATGCGGATCCCGGGGCGTTCGTCGCGGTAGGCGTCCATCAGCATGGCAGAGAACATAAGACTGAAGAGGTTAGGCGCCGCACGTATCTCTGCTTCACTCCGTTGGTCACTGCGAATGCCTCCGAGACAGCCCCGTTGTCCGTGACTCGCGCCATCATACCGTCGTGCAGCTGACGCACTATCTGAGTGAATCGCTCCGGACAGCCGAATTTCTGCATGATCTTCCACAGTCCTTCACGATTCACCGTGTCGAAGGCTTTCGTCAGGTCCACGAAGGTAGAGTACAGGTGGGTCCGCATCTCCTGACACTTCTCCTGAAGTTGACGGGTGGCGAAGATCATATCCGTGGTCCCACGATGACGACGGAAGCCGCATTGACTTTCCGACAGAAGGCCCTGTTCCAGATGGTTATTGAGGCGGTTGAGCAGGATGCGAGCGAAGATCTTCCCGGCGATGTTCAGTAGGGAGATGCCGCGGTGGTTGTCGCAGACTTGGCGATTCCCTTTTCGCTTGTAAAGGTGCACGATGGTTGCGTCCTTGAAATCTTGCGGGACTTCGCCTTGACGCCACATCCCCTGGAAGAGCGCAGTCAGGTGATCCATCAGTTGGGGACCTCCGTGCTTGTAGACCTCAGCAGGGATCGCGTCCGATCCGGGTGCTTTCCCGCCGGAGAGCTGCTGCACGGCCCTGATGGTCTCCTGGAGAGATGGCGGGAGGTCGAGGTCCACGTTGGTCTCCACTTGCGGCAAGCGGGCGATGGCGGTGTCGGAGATGACGGAGGGGCGGCTGAGGACGCCTCGGAAATGCTCGGCCCATCGCTGTAGGATTTGCGTCTTCTCAGTCAGGAGAGTGCTGCCGTCGGCGCTGAGGAGAGGAGCAGCGCCCTTCGTCGGCGGACCGTAGACAGCTTTGATCGCAGAGAAGAAGTTCTTCCATTCGTTGCGGTCCGCGTAGCCTTGGATCTCCTCAGCTTTGGGAGCAGTCCAGGCGTCCTGCATCTCGCGCATTCGTTGCTGAAGTTGGCGGCGACTGCGGTAGAAGGCAACTTTGTTGTCCTCAGTGGGGTGATCTACGTAGGCTTTGTGTAGGCGGTTCTTCTCAGCAAGCAGATTTCTGATGGCGGCGTCGTTTTCATCGAACCAGTCCTGGTGTTGACGGGGAGCGCGACAAAGGACGGCGAGCGCCGTCGACTGGACCGTGTCTCGCAGTTGACACCAGCGGTTCTCCACGGAGGCGTTCTCGGCAGCGGCGGCGGTGGCAGCGATAGGAAGGTTGTCTAGCCGTTGAGCTAGCAGATTGCTGAAATGAAGACTATCAGCAGGCAAAGACAACAAAGCAACATTCAGTTTACCTGGGGGTCACTTACCTTGTGGTCTCCTGCGAGGCTGTAGGCAAATACGCATCTTCGAGATGACGAGGCGATGGTCGGTCCACCCGTCAGCACCCGCGATCGCCTTCGTCACCGGCACGTCCCGCTGATCTCGCCTCCGGACGAGGACATAGTCCAGCAGGTGCCACTGGCTCGACCGAGGATGCCTCCAGGTGGCCTTCTCTCGCTCCGGCAGACAGAAGAACGTGTTCGTCAGGATGAGGCGGTGTTCTGCGCAGGTGCGGAGAAGCAGCAGGCCGTTGTCGTTGGAGCCGCCGAGACCGTGGGGACCCATCACTCCCCTCCAGACAGTATGGTCTGTGCCGACGCGGGCGTTGAAGTCGCCAAGGACAATCAGCTTGTCCGCCTTCGACACAGTCGCCAAGAGGGCGTGCAGATCCTCGTAGAATTTGTCTTTGACGGCGTCGGAGCTGGTCATCGTCGGATCGTAGGCGCTGATGATGGTGGCGAATTTGCCCCCACCCCGGAGATGCAGACGGAGGTGCATCAGGCGATCGTTGATGCCCTGCGGCAAACAGGGCAGTCGTCCCACAATGTCGTTCCGGATGGCAAGGGCTCTGCCTTGGGTCGGCCACTCCAGAAGAAGGTGTATCCGGCACCCACCTCCTCCAGTTGGCCTTGTTCAGAGAATCGGATCTCGCTGAGTGCGGTGATGTCCACCTTGTAGCGCGCCAGTTCTCGTGCCACTAGCGCCGTCCTCCGTTCCGGTCGGTTGCTCCTCGGACTGTTTGAAAGGGAAAGAACATTTAGGCTGCCAGAGTGAGCGGGCTCACCCTGCCGGTCTGGCGACTGTGGCGGCGAAAAGTAGGAGTAGGAGAAGAAGAAGAATAGGTTGGAAGAGGAAGAGAGTGATTGTTGTTGTTGTTGTTTCGGTTTTGGCTGTTTCGACCGTGTGCTTTTTGTCTGCGGCCACGGCCAGCCTACAGACAGCGTGGTTCCCAGCGATCTTTAGGGCACCTGTTCTAGCCCCCTCCCCCTCGCGAGGGCAGGCAACGCATCCCTGAACAGGGCTGCTCGGTTATCCCAGACGGCTGCCGGACTCCACTATGGGCGACGACTTATGTTAGTGAGAGAACGATCCGAATTAGCCTGGGACCTTGGTGGTGACGGTGATGTGATGGGGTGAAGTAGCAGAGAGCATACACACAACCTAACGCTATGGGACTTACAGCTAGCTAGAGTGGGCAGACAGACACAGTCATCAGTTAGAGACAGAAGTGAGAGGGCACCATTCAAGCGTCAAGCATCGTAACACCTAGCTATTAGCAGAGAGAGGCATAAACTGACAGACAGACAGTCGCAGCAGGCAGCGAGTGTTTCGTCTAGCTATTAACAGACAGACTAGCATACAGAGGACAGGCAGCAAGAGCAGCATACGACACGGAACTTCAACAGACAAAAGGAAGAAACAGAGCAAATGCACTTACCTGAGGAAGAACTTACCTGGTGGCCTCCTGCGATGATCCAGGCAGAGCCTCCTCTCGACGATGTCGACGCGAAGATCCATTCGGCCAGCGGAGTCCACAGTACCTCGCGTGTAGGTGCGCGCACGGATACTCTCACCTGGTTTAGTCCGCCGGTCGAGACGGTTGCCCGGGGTGTGGCCGCTGAGCAGAGCCCAGCTACGTGGAGCTACAGGTGACAGTTAGGTGCCAGCAAATGGACGCTAGGAGTAGTCTCACCTGCAAGCAAGTGAGCGACCACTACGACCATCACGTGGACCCACCGCTGACACCCCTACACCCCACCGCTGTCCCACACTTTCTTAAAAAAGAAAAACAGACTTCAAAAACTACAGAAGCAGCTTAAAGATCCTTCCGTGAGCTCATTATCAGTTCACTTAAGAATCGTTTAAATATTTGAATTAGCTGCGAAAATGAGGCTCCAGCAAGATGGGCGTAGAGATTCTTTAGCTACTAATGGTGTGAATGCTTCTAAATCAGTTGCCCAGATCTTCCGTCAAAGATCATCTGCTAAATCCCACCAAGTCGTTCCGCCTTTGCTAAATACCAAATATATTTTCATAATTCATGATGTAGGCAAAGCAGAAGTGTTAAACTCATTCTTTTCCAAACATTTCAACATTGAAACTGGCCCAATCCTTTCAATTCGTCCACTGTCTGATGCATCCCTCAGCATCATTAATTTTGCTCCTGAAACTATTTCAAAACTGAAAAATCATCTTACCAACTGTTACTCAGTAGGCACGGACAATATTTCGAACTCTCTTATAAAACAGATAAGAAATTTTCCTCCGCTGTTCAGCAAACTCGTTCCGGTCTTCCTCGTAACTGGTTTCTTCCCTTACTATTGGAAAGTTTCTATTATCATTCCAGCATTTAAGCCTGGCTGTCGTTCTTATGTTTAAAACTACCGAGGTGTCCATAAAACGCCTCTCGCCAAAATCTTTGAAAAAATTATCGCCTTGAAAGTTACCGACGTTTGCACAGACAATCAATTTATTAGCCCTTCCCAGCATGGTTTTTTACCAGATCGCTCTCATGAAACATGTCATTTGTCCTTTCTCAATCTGCTTACTTCTCCTCGTTATGACTATCTATCTGTTATCGTTATTTACTTTGATCTTGGTAAAGCCTTTGATAAAGTGCCACATAAAAGACACTTAGTTAAATTAGAAGCTCTGGGGCTTCAGAGTCCTCTTACAGATTTTAACAAGTCGTGCATGTCAAATCGTAAACAAAGGGTTTTAGTGAGATCTTCACTTTCCAATGACAGTCCTCTTGTAAGTGGTGTCCTACAAGGTACTGTTTCAGGTCCTCTTTTGTTCCTGCTGTACACAAGTGATATCTCGTCGCAGTTCAACATTCTGAATCATTTATTTATGTCGATGATCCCAAACGTGTATATTCATTCAATAAATCAACGACCTTTCATTGCCTGGAACAAATCCATGCTGACTTGCTTACTCTCTCAGCTTGGAACTCAAAATAAATAATGGAATTCTCTCCGTCTTAATGTCGCTGTATGTGTTTTGGACCTGATACGCTATGCCGCCCAGTGGTCTTTCAAGGCACACCTATGACTGAATGCATCAATATTAAAGATTTAGGTTTAAGCTACACCAATAATCAAGATCTCTCGCCATACGCTGACAGGATTACGGCCAAAGCTGCCCAGACTTGTGGCTTTATTTCCTACAATTTCTATCTTACCGAGATTAAGTTAAAACTTTATCGAACGTTTGTACTTCCCATTCTCGACTATTGTTGCTTATTCTTTGGTTTGATGAACGAGGCTTGTCGGTCAAAATTTGAAAATGTTAAAAGACGTTTTTCTAGAAAACCTTTAGGCACGGAACATCCAAATATCTTCTACTCAGCTAGGTGCCAGCTAATTAACCTAAAATCTTTATAGGTCCGAAGACTGGAAGCAGGCTTTTGTTTCCTCTTTCGCATTAATAATGGTTCAAATCTTCCTCGAATTTCGGCACTTGCTCCTAGTCGTCGACAATAAAATCTTCGCAAATTTTCCCCGATTATACTTCCTCCCGCTTCCTCCACCTCTAAGCGCTCTCTTTTTTTCGCGTCCAGGTATACTTTCCTCTAGAATAACCTTCCAATAAACATAAGATCTTCAGGTGATGTACATAATTTTAAGAGTAGGCCGTGCCTTTGTCTGAATACTGACCCAATTAGACTTTTATTTTCCTTATCCTTCCCGGATAACTTTCTCTATGATACCGAGAAGGAGTCAACGGGAATTTAGGACTTCGCCATTACATTTCCGTATCCGTTCACATTTCCTTCTTTTGTGTGTAAATTAACGAATAAATAATTTTTATTAAAGACCCGTCGGGGTCCCGTCAAAGCATGTAAAATGAATTTCCATATGGATTTTTGACGAGGTAGACAGAATCTGTACAAAATGCAATTCATAGTTTCTGAATTTGTAGTCCAATAGGAAAATTGATGAGCGAGCAGTGAAGAGAACTCCACCTAAGAACTTGAAAATGGTTGGATTAATTTCACAGGAAAAAAAATCGTCGCTCATCATAAAACAAAAATGCGGGCAGGAATGGCTTGCATGTGGTAGTATATAATGGATTATAATCGGACATCGTCAGGGCAGAAATAAATGTCAGCCTTCAGAGGTAAGTGTGCTGATCGGACAGGACTGGTCTGAATGCGGTATTGTATACGAGATTCAGAATGGAGGTCATCAGGATAGTATCTATACGCCAAATAAGACTATTCGCATCAAATTGGCCAGACGAGAGGAACCTAGACGCGATCAGCCACAGTCCGCTTTGAGCTCAGTCGAGAAGTGGGGAAGGGAGGTACGACCAAACTACTAGTAAACGGCGAAATTCTGAGAGTTCCGCCAAGAGCGTCGACAGAGAGCTTGAGGTCAAAATGAGGGGGATGACATCAAGAACCGCGAAAATCGTCGCCATGGGGGAAGGAACGGTAGCAGTGGACTTAGTGACCAATTCAAATCAGGGGGCTGTAAAGGTGTAAATGAAGGTTTTCACTTGATCTATCACTGAGTTTCAGGACGACCCTTTTCGAAGTTAAGTAACTGAGTGTTCAGGGATGAGACCGTTAAAATTGCCTTTATACTTTCCGGAGTAAGGTGTTTGCGTAATTTCGACTTGAATACCAGTAACTTAGGAGATGACCTAATTACTGATGGAAGATTACTCCAAAGGAAGACATATTTGGAAGCAAAGAAGAGGGAGCTCTTAGACGTAGTGCAAAGAGGTGGCGGCGGAAGCACCATGGAGGAGTTGCGCGTGGCATAAGACCGATATCTCGGATTAAGGGTGTCTATGAGCGAAAGACTGGAGATAGGGTTAATGAGAAAAAGGAAGCAAAGGCCAGCTTCGAGTCTTCTAACCCACAAAGACTTAACGTTCGCCAGCTGACATCTCTGAGTATAAGAAGTACTGGATACGACTTGAGAGAACAGATTCCGGGTGAAAACCCTCTGAAAGTTTCCGATCTTATAACGGTCACAGATGTTCAGTTAGTCAAAGAAAGGACAACATTATTCGAGGATTGGAAGAAAAAAAAAACCTTTGATAAAGTCTTAGGTTCATTTGCGGAAGGAAAAAATATGCGATATGAATCCACATATCTGCGCGGCTTTGACAGAGATTCTATCTGCATAAGGTAATAAAGCAAGTTTATTTGTATAAATTAAACCTAGGTCCTTCATGATAAAGCATTCTGGGGATGAGTTATTCTGAAAAATTAAGGGACTAGGAAGTTTGGTAGGACAAAAAAGCCATGAAACTACACTTGAATGATGAAAACTCCATCTTCCATGTTGAACGCCATCTGCTTAGGCGAGGTTAATTGGCGTTAATTTTCTCAATACAAACATTTGCGGTGTCCTTGGAATAGGAGACATCATATATATAATATAAGACAATATAAGACATCATATCTACCCACGACGTAACAGTCACCGTGAGATCTTCTTATTTCTACCTCTGGCACGTACTGTTAAATATCGTCGGTTCTATTCTGTAAATGCAATTGCTATTTAGAATAAACTACCCATGAGTGCGAAAACTCTGCAAAATTATCCTTTATTAAGGAGAACTATTACTCGATTCTTGCATTCAGAAAAGATTCCTCAAATTTTGGGTTCTGAATCCACGGATCGACTCTACCGTAGCGATGGCGTTTGTGGTCTCTGAACACTATGGCCGGTCTCACCAGCTGTTCCTCAACGCCTCTTCTTTGACCATCCCCAACTTCATGAAAGGAACTGACGACCGATGATCTCCGATACCGTGCAAACCCCTCCCGCCCCCTTCTTGACGGTCGAATGTATGCCGCCAGCAGTTTTTTTTCTCCTGAACCCTTCAAACCATAAAAACCATCATCATTTATATTTTTATTCTTCAGGAGTTTTTTTTCACTGCTGGTCGGATTTGTGTTTAATCGCTTCCCTTGACAATGCCTGTAAACTGACATTTAATAAATTAAGTGAGTAAACACACTTGAGGTCATCGGCATGAAAGAAGTCCGCGAATTTTTGATTTCAGTCGAAATATCATTGCTGTAAAAAAGGAAGAGTAGCGGACTCAGAGCCGTGCCTTGAAGTACGCCACTCGTGATCGAGTGAGGCGTCGAGTAGCTATTACCGACTATAACTTTCTGATATCGGTTAGCTAGATAGGACTTGATGAAGTCGAGTAGAGGCGGCCGGATGCCGAGAGCTTCAAATTTTACAAAAAGACGTCTGTGGGACACCTTGTCAAAGGCTTTGCTAAGATTAAAGTCAAGAATTTCATTGAAATAATTACTTTTCTTTGCGACGAGAGAATAACAAATGCAGCGCAGAAGTTTCACGTCAATGAGAAATCCTCCAAGTAATATGGAGAGTGCTTTAGGCAGGATCTGAGATAAAGAAGACAACCGCCTCAACGCCTAGTCGTGCTCTCTTCAAGTCAAAAATCGAAGTTATCTATAAAAAGGGCAGAGTCAGGAATCAGAGAATGGGTCCAAGATCCTGTCACACATATAATATTAGGCGTAATTTCGAGAGCAATGACTCACATTTGGGTCATCTTGTTTATAACAGACCTGGCTTTCAATAATATAATATTAAATGTGTTTCGAGCGACAAGGCTATTGCCGATGGTATTTATAAAAAGTTGGAGGCGGATATGTAAGCTGTGAATGAATGATGCTTGGAGAATAGGTATTAGTTAGTTTAGCGTTATTGACGTACGGGGAGTG